GTAGAGTGGTTGTGTATAGAGTTAAACCGTGTGCGCAAACTTGGTGGGGTGGCCAACTCGCTTGCCTGGCCAACTCGCTTATCCAGCACGTTATACAAACCACGCAAATCGAGAAAACTACTGGTTCTGTGCTATTACGGTTCTGTGTAACTGATTCAAAAAACTTGGAGGTACAGTTGCATGAATGAAAGGTTCTAACTACGTATTATACACATGATGGACGTAATCACGATAACTACATAATCTAGGTAAATGCAGAACACATTTAATGATTCTTCTTCTTTCTGCCTCTCTTCTCGCCATCCTTCCTTTTTCTGCCAGTGGTGGTCGAACTATCTGGATGGGCCTCCCTCCACCAAGCTAGATGACTGATTTCGATACGCCACCCGCATTCGCCCTCTCGCCTGAACAACCTGTTAATTCTGCGAATCTGCTCCGTAGCAGCGATTGGCGCGTAGTCACTCGGGGCAAAAAATTCTCGTTCAGCATCGCCTCGAAGTGCGGGACTTAGTCAAGAGAAGAAGTATTTTGATTCTCGAAGACGAGAAACATCCCAGCCACCCTTCTTAGGGATTTGAGGAAACTCCAAAGGCAACCAAACCTGAATCGTGCTTTTGTCGGCAGCAATGCGAGAGGGTGGTTTCTTCTTCCCATGGAGGCCTCCACTCTGAGGATCTTTTGCAAGATCCTCTGCATCGTTTTCAACAAGATGCATGGTTGATTCGGTGGTGGTGCAAGGCTCTGCTATCCCATCCAGAACATCGCCTCTGATCTCCGTTTGCCGTTCTGCCGATTCTTTTTCTTTTGTCTCACCGAGTAATTGGAGCCGGAAAGAATGGAGTGCCTTCGGATCCTGGTTCGCGAGCCATATGCTGGTGGGTGTCTCCATCTCTTCACCCTCTTTCCTTTGCTTGGGGTCTTCGCTCTTTAGCAACTCTTGCCGTTTGGCCTCTAGTGCAACTTCTTCAAATGAAGCATCCGCTCGGGCCGACCAACTGACTCTTGTGGCTTGTCCTCCAGTTTTTCGGTTTTCCATCCTCCATTTGATTATCTTCCGTCCAGCCTCTGAATGGTTGACAACAGTAGCGCGATACATCGCCCCTGCATAGCGTGCGGAGAACTCTGCAGCAAGACGAGCGATGATGTCCTCACTATGCATGCGTACAAACGCATCGCGAAGGATTATATTCAGGTTTGGGATATCAGATGCGTGTGTCCAGAAACTGTCATGTACAGCCGCAAAATCGAGACCCATTTCGTTGGCTTTCAACGCTGACAGCGTCATGTGCGTGGCATCCAGAGAATGAATAAAGTTGGGAGGAAATGCTTGCAGTTGTTTACGCTTGTCAACCTCGTCCTGCTGTGATTTCTTTGCGACGGTGATATCCTGAATCTTGGTCCTGATTTTTTGGACGGTATCTTTTCTGTACGGCTGCACAATGGGCATCTTGAGAGGGGACGTCCAAATGATGCTGGTCTTAAACTTCTCCATATTCTTGTTTAGCTTGCTGATCTGGAGCGTAGTGACCTTTTTGGGGGCAGCAAACTTCGGGTCATATAGCACTACCGCAGGATCCATTCCCTCAAATCGTTCCTGAATCCGTTTGATTTGTTCAGCAGAGATCGATGTTGTGATACGATCACCGCATTCGCCCAGCCAGTATTGGATTTCTTGTGCGCCGTTGAAAATCTTGCCCAGTGCTTCGAAAATCCTTTGTGCAACGTACAAAGCAACAACTCCGAGTGACTTCACCTTGTCCGTAGGCTGAAAATGGGGGAAAAGATTGCGAAGCTCATCTTGAACCTGTTGCTTCGCTCCCATGAACGTAACACCATACACATTGGTCATGACCGTCCGTTTGACGACCTTTCGAGAAATGTGTCCATCTATGAAGTTCGCAACAGGTAAACCTTTGCTGGCATCCTTAGCAACCATTTCTTTCACGAGCTCCGCAACACCGGTGTAGATGTCCTGAGGTCTATCCGAAGGCTCAAGGTTGACTTGGCGAGCGCCAGCGTGGTCGCCGCCCAAGGCCGCGTAATGCTGCAGTCCATTGCAGGTTCCATCCTGATGAACAGGTAGTTGTGATACAAAGCGGGTCGGATCAGGTAGGTCGAAAGCGTTCTTTAACTCAATGCAGCATGCTAAGCATTGCCACGGATCTTCGGCCTTGGTCCACCATCGCTGTCCCTCTAGGGGCTGACTCGCAGAATCGCAAATCTCGCTCATGTGGTCCATGGCGAACTGCTCACGTTCTCGCAAACTTGCCTTGTCGAAACCGTACAAGTTGGCAAGATGGATCTTTAGCCACTGCAAGCCAACAGCACCAAGCTCTTTGCCATGTGCAAACTTAAGAAGACCTCTTGAGAGATCTGAGCCAATGTGGTTAAGAATAGGTGGTATTGGGTACGCTCGGCCTCGGAAATCCACACTGTGAGGAAAGTAGATCTTTTTCTCGTTGGCATACGCTCGGGCAGTCTCAAGCTGGAAGTTTTGAAAGCATCTTTGGGAATGAAGGCCACTAATTGTGTCTTCATACTCCTGAAGGGCTTTGTTCCATCGTGATCGTTCTTGGAATGAAGCTTCCGCAGAAGGTTCAGAGGGGCGCTTGAGACTTGTGATGGCGTCCTCACCAACTAAAGATCCAATGCTCTCACCAGCGTTCCAAGCACGAGCCATCACGTCGAAGACAGGAGCGTTGATCTGCCAGGGAACTTTTCCTAGAACATCAAGGCCGGCCATTACTTTGGACATGTCACCGTTTTCTATGGCCAGCTTAGCATACGCCCGCTGGGCAGCATCACCACCTTTTTGACGAACAATTTTCTGTGGCACAGTATAGTATCCACCATCTTCAAAACTTGACCACGGCTTTGGTTCAACTACCATCGGCAGCCGGACCGTTTGAATGCTATGAACAGAGTCTGTACGCATCTTGGCCATGAGCTCGTGATGTGGCACTAGGAAACCGAGCTTTTTGCCTTGATGGAATCCAACCTGGTGATGAAAAGCAGCCATGCTACGAGAGACTGATTTGCCGGTTCTCGGGTCTTTCGCCGTCACCACAAGAGTTGCTGACTGAAGTAACTGTTCGATGCACATAGCACCAAGCTTTGTCCGAGCCGAGATAGGCATGTTGACCTTCTCAAACTCAAACATGTTACTCTTCACCTTTTGGGTTTCTTTTTCTGTGGATGATGTCGAACCTGATTTGGCAAGCGTGCTGACCAAGTTTAAGCGGGTTTGTTTACGCTGCTTTTTAAGAAAAGTGTCTCGGCGAGTTTGGGTTTCGGCATTGAGGTAGTCCTCAATGTCGTTACCCACGGCAATTGACAAGGCCGATATCTTGAGAGCAGAACTGTCTTCTCCTTTTCCTTTTACCGCAGATTGAGTGGCACGGGCAACTGTGATAGCCGCTAATTTCTCGGGCTTGCATCGCTCTAGCCAAACTCCATATGTGTGGGCGTCGTCTCGCGTTGTGGCTTTTGGAGGTTCTAACAAAACTTGCTTGGCATGCTCAATGCGCTTCTTGAACAATGGTATTAGGGCGGTGTACCAGCTATACATCATGGCTTGAATAGGCTTTGTGTTCATGACGCCATGAATGCCAATTTCCTGCAGTTTCTCGTCCTCAGCTTTCCATCTCTTGACAGCGGCTTCCATACCATCCTGCTCCATCTGAATCTGTCGTGCGTATGCGTATGCTTGATCCTTCTCCTCTTGCGTGCCCTCCATGTCGTGTGGGTAGGGGACACAGTCTCCATGATCGAAGACATTGAGTGCCTGTTTCAGCGAGTCTAAACCCATGCCTTTCTGCTTGACAGGCTTGATTTCCTGTGCAGGATGTGGTACTAGGCCGTGGGCGATAAGATTGGTGCGGCCGTCTGGTGTGCTGACATGGAGATGTTGAACCTGCTCAACCGTCGGAGGCTCGTTGAATGACTCGGGCTGTAGACGAATCAAAAGATCCCACTCTTCGTCGGAAAAGTCGGGTGAAGCATTAATGCTGTCAACAACATGCTCACCGTACTCGCGCGCAGTGGCAATGTGTGCTCGAACAGCATCCTCTGCGGCGCTGTCATCGAGGAAGTGCATTGCGGAACGTATGAGAGTGACAAATGTCTGGGCACTGGGCTGAACGCCCTGGCGCAGCATCTTGGCTTTGTACCAAGTCTGTATCTTTTTCATTGCCGAGGATTTGTCTTCGTATTGGCCCAAGTCCAAGAGGGTCTGGAGGTAGACGTTATGTGCGTCAATCACTTCGGGTGCATCTGGTCTGTATATAGTCATGAGTCGGTTGACAATTACAGCGGCACGATCCACACGACCGACCCGTAGACAGGCATATAGGTTTTGGTGTAGCTCGGTAGGGTCGCTCCCGACACCGGGAACGGCTCGAAGTTGTGGCATCGAAGCCAGTGAATCGTGAACGACAAGGGGTTCGGTAGAATCCCATAGCGGTAGGCGGGAGAGGTCTGCGTGGGGTGGATGACGGCCAAAGGCTTGGGTGAAAGGATTGAAGGAAAGCGAGGAGGGCGGCGGGGGCTGCAATTCTGCCGTCGTAGCGAGCGAGCGTGTGTCGTGACGAACTGCCGCAGGAAGAGCAGCAGATATTGAGGAAGAGAGGGGGAGGGACAGTGACGAGCGACGTTGTCGACGTCGTGTTGTCGAGTCGTGTGCGCTGCGTCTTGCAGCCATCGAAGGCGTCTGCGAATGCGCTCGTGACAGTGCGGGACACAACCATGGCAGCGTCAGTTGGTCGGAAAGAGTCGTGGGCGTCCTAAAGGCATCTCTGCGCAATTTGCGTCCCGCTGCCCGCGTAAGCATCGTGCCCAATGCCTACTGTCGTCTCGAAGCGTGTACTGGGGAGGGGTGTGGGTATCTAAACAAAATCGACGCCGAAAGAACAGAAAAAAAGGAAAAGGAACCCCCAAGATGCTTCAACGCCAGAATATGAATCGGACAGGTTGCGCACGCAGAGGAAAGGCGAGAGGCGGCATGTAAGTGAATGAAGGCAAGACGGCGGCCGACATGGATGAAGATTCTCGATCCAAAAAATCTCCAGCCCTGTCGAAGCGTCATGGCGAATGGGGCATGGCGCCGAGCCCTTCCGAGCCCCGCTCGCCACCTGCGCCACTTGCACCACCACCAGTACACATGCAACTGCTTATTGAATAGTATTACATAGATAGTAGTACTAGTACTGCGTGTACTACGTCTACAAGACATGAATCCAATCACAACAATAACGACATGATAGTAATGAGAATAGTAACAACTGGTATTCGACATACATGATACTTGGCTTTTTGCCCTAAAAATCCTCATCGCCATCAACGTGGTCAACGGATACTTTGGCAGTCCTTGTGCTCGCATGATCCTTCGCTGATGCCGTCTTGGTTGACAGTCCGTCCACTAGGAGTAGCTTCTCCAGCTGGTCGTCGATGGGTGCATTGAACATCTCCGTCTCTCTACTCTCATCCTCCTCCCAGTCCTCCTTGTCCTCGTTTCCAAAGCAAAACAAATCACCTGCCTCGCCCTCAATCCTCTTCCTGTGCTTCCCTTTTACCCGCTGGCAGCCACCAATCTCTTGGCGGAATTCGTCGGCATATGCTTGTGCAATCGCCGACACATTGGCAGCTGGAATGTGCTGGCCATTGTAAAGTAATCGTGGTAGGTGGGGAATTTCGGGAAGATCGCCATCAAAGGGCAGGGCTTGGTGGAGAGGCACTGCGTCAGCCATGGCAGATGGCTCCGCGTTTTGGAGCACGCGCGGCGATTCTTCCGAGCGGACAAATGCTTCTTCCTTGTCCATTGTGGATGTTTGCTCATTGGCACCTGTCAATGGCCTACTAAACTCCTCTGGAGCATGATACAGCTCGTTGTGTATTGTGACTAGTGAATCAGACATGACTGCAGGGTATAGCAGTGAGTAGCCCCGGGCTCGCATGAATTCAAGCATATACTCGGTCCAGGCTGGCAACGTCTCTGACACCAGCTTCTTCCGAGTTGCGTGCTTGACTGAACCTTGATATTTGGTTACTCGGTTGCTCAGGAACGAGTGCAGCTCGGCCCACTTGTCGCCTAGGAACAGTGTCGCGTGACTATTTGGAGCCTGCCATAAGAACGGTGCGCTCTTGGCTTTGGGAAACAATTTCTTATATCGATTTGTGTTCATATCACCAACCTCGGGGGGCTCCAGCCTTGCCTTGTTGTCCAAGAGCATCGGTGGCAGCTCAAGGCTTACACCCATTAGATCCCCGTAGTCATAAGCGCCATATCCAGAGTACTTGTATTCCAAGAGCGTATACTTGACAAAGTGAAAGTACTGCCGTGCGACTTGCGCCTGTGAAGAAAGCAGGAGCACGTGCGAGTTGGTGGTGCTCGCGGGGTAGAATAGCTCCAGTAAGCGTATCGCCGACTCTTGCTGGCTGTGTCCGTTGTCCGCGATGCGCCGTCTGATGGTGAGTCCACCTCCGAGGCCGTGCTCGTTGCCGTTTGGTGGCCACTCGAACTTCTCCATGTGTTTTTTCACGGACGCGTCGAGCTCGGCCGGTAACTCGATGATGATGCGAGGCGGTCTCAGGCCACTGTAATCAGCGTCTTTGATCGACTTGAGCAATCGCATAACGCTCGAAGAATGTGGCGGAACCTGTATCAAAATGTCTACGACCGGGTCATGCCATCGTTTCAGTGAGCCAGCATCGAGTCTGGTGACCCACGTGAAATCGTCGAGCCTGTCCTTGGGCACCTGGATGAGAGGCATGTGCAGTGTGCTGGCCTTGGTCTTTAGTGCCCGAACAAAGAAAGCGTCCTCTGACTGTGGGTCATGGAAGAAGGCAGCCTGGGGGTGAAGGAAGGCTTTGATGTGCGACAGAGCTCCTTGCACAGCCAGCTCAGCGCGCGCATCTGTGCTATACCTATAGATGCTATGTCAGCAGCAAGCCCGTGGAGCGGTCGTATAAGCTGGACAGACGTACTCTGCATAGTCTGGGCGCGCATCGTGCCACACGGCGGGGCACTCGGTCTTGTCTATGCCATTGATGTGCAGCAAGTCGTCCAGGGGGATGTCGTCCCTTCCCATGAAGGCTACATGGACGTGGTTCCTGTTCCACTTGGACATGTCGCACGCCAGAGACAGCAGCACCGAAATGCTCTTGAGGCTTGACACGGCAAAGAGGACGTTGCTGTTATCCTGGTCATAGCCGCCCGTCGACGAGGCCGACGATCGCAAGGAGCTGGCGAGGCGGAAGAAGCGGACCTGTCCATCGTAGACATGAGGTGTAGGGTCGCCGCGCTTGGGCTTGCGCACGCCTGGCGGTGGGCCGGTGGGCTCGTCGTTGTCATTGTCGTCGTCGTCGTTTGCGCTCGGATTCTGGTAGTACGTCGAGGTCGTGGGTGGGGTCAAGGTCGAGGGGTATTTCTGCTGCTGTGCCAGGCCACCATTGTAGTCGTCGGCAGGGGCGTGGAAGAGATAGTAGAGTAGCAGCAGGCCCGTCACGGCCAGCAGCGTGCGCCGCCGTCGCCAGCGCAGCGGGTGGCTCCATGCGGGCCAGCCGGACTTGCGCGCTGGCCTGAAGCGGCGGTCGTCGTCCTTCTTGCCCAGTTCCTCGTCGGCGGCCAGCATCGTGTTTCTGAACATGGTGTCGCCTTCTACCGCGCAGAGACGCCGGGCATCATGTTGGACGGGAATGCGCGTGCAGCAAGGTTTGGGATGACGCGACGGCGCAGATGGACTCGTGCCACGGTGCTGCCACTACGCATGTGTGCACATACAGTATATGTGTACTTGGACGGTTCAAAAATAAGCAATGTCGGTTATCATTGACGAGGATACGCGCGAGGTGGGCCAGGGCACAATGCCGGCGGGTGGGGCACTGGGTGCATGGTGCACTACGATGCATACATACATAGTACTTACTCATTGTACTTGGTTGGGTAGGGCCATATATACTACATACTACTACGTACGTACGTATTGTTGCTGCTACAACTACTACTTACTATCATCTCCCATCTCCCAGCCCTATGCATCCAACCCTCACGCCTTCTCGTGCTCGGCCAATCGCTCGTCTGCCGCCCTCAAGGCCTCGCGCAGTATCCGCTCGTTCCGTGGCTTGAACACGACCTTGTACGCTCGGCACATTGTCACCAGGCTGGTCGGGTCTGCGCTGCCTCGCACCGGGTGCACATCCACCTCCGAGTCCTGCACAATCTCGAAGCTGTTCAACAACCTCAAAAATACCAGGTACAGTTCGCGATTGGCCAGCAACGAGCCTGCACACATCCTGTACCCGAGCCCGTACGTGTGCAGCGGCGCGTCGGGCTGCTCGAGCCAGCGCTCTGGCCGGAATTCATCTGGGTCGCTCCAAATGTCCGTGTCTAATGGCACAGTCAGCATTGCTCGCTCCCCTCTCCTTCTTCGCCCCACAAAACCACTTACCCATGTTGCACGCCCATGCGTTCAGGTATATCGTGCTGCCTGTCGGAATGAGCTTGCCGTCGTACATCACGTCCTTGACCGTTGCCCGCGGAAGTGCCAGTCGTAGGACAGTGTAGTACCGCAAGCACTCTCGAACTAGCGCCACAATGTATCCGCACTTCTGATCATCATATGCATCCGCTAGGGGCTCGCTCTCCGTGTAAAATTGCCTGATCTCTCGAATCGCTTTCTCCTGGATGTCTGGTCTCTGGGCAAGCAGGGCCACACTCCATTGGACCAGTGTTGTAATCGTGTCCAACCCTCCGGACAGCATCGTCAAACTAATTGATGTCAGTTCTTCCTTGTTTAGCGCCGCGTCTTTGTCTTGGATGATGTTTGCCTGGATGCATGGCTTATGGATGCCCTTGGCCATGCGTTCGTCCAGGTCGCGGTTCAGTTTGGTCAAGTACACGTCTCTGCGATTACGGTACTCTTTTGCCGACCTCGTACCGAAACTGAAAGGATTCAGCCTTAGTATGGGAATATAATCCTGCAGGTTTCCAGTAGTGCTGCGAAACTTTGAGATTGCGGCCTCGACTTCACAGATCTCGTGGAACATGGGATCATGTCGACTGCCCATTCTAGTTCCCCAGTTGAGTGTCAATGCAAGTGAGAGAGATAGACGCTCAATCATGGGCATTGGGTCCACGCCCTCCGTTCCGGCTTTGCCTGATTCGAAAGCATCTTTCACAAATTCCTTCGTCTCTAGGTCAAGATGGCCTATGTACGTTGCGATGGAAGGCTTATTCAGCGCAGACGCAGCGCCCTTTCTCCGGCGCTTGAGCGAGTCGCTGAAGGGCGAGGTGCCAATCGTCGTGCCAGCAGTGTTGGAAAGCACCTACATCACTCAGTCAACTTGTCCTAACCCATATTTGATCAACTCACCTTGTGAAAAGTCCAGAAAACAGGCCTTGAGCTTAGCGCTTGACTGTTGCTGCCAAATAATTTTCTTGCAGCCTCCGCACTGTTCACCACAATCACTGGCTCGTTTCCAAGCTGAATCTGGTACACTGCACCAAATTGCTTACTCCATTCGCGGTACTTTTCCGCCGCGTTGTACTTGATATCGGGAATGTTACCCACCAGTGGCCAGTTTCTTGGTCCGGAAAACCCCTTGATGCGTCGGGAGTATCGAGCATACTCGTTGCTGACAATGTACAAGACGGGAATTAGAATCGATCCGAGTACGAGAGATCGAATTGGATGATCGGCCAGTTGCGAGGACAAAAGCTCAATGATGATAGAAATCATGACGGCGACTGACGTTCCGTATTGCCGGGGATATCAACAGACACAGAGAGAATTTTGTGTGCACGCTAACAATCATTACATCAAGGACGGTCGACTTTATGCCTTTTTTTTACATTGTCTCTTCTATGCGCCACTTGCTACAGAAGGTAAGTACTCTGGGGTTCCCAGATAACGAGGCCCGCTACCAATGCGGGGAAGACAGCCCGGCACTGCAGAGCGCGGAATTAACGACAAGAAGCGGAATGCTGCGCGTGCAACCAGTACGTCATCACGCCATGGTTTCCTGCCTCGCCCTAATAACAATTCCATACGGATTGCGGTTATCACAACAA